CAAAATTTCACGCACACTCTTTGTTCCTTCTGGTCGGCCATCTCACTAATTGCCAAAGGGTTGAAACAGGAACGCACACAACAGAGCACCACAGACAAACCACTTAACTCAGACTGACGCCAGCTCACTAACAGTCGTGGGAGACCCCCAGCTAACACCATCTAGCAGCACAACTCGTAACTACAAAGCATGCGCACGCAACAGGTCGTTTCCAGTTATTTTTGGGTCCCCCATTGTATTGCATTGTCTGTGATGCACTCAACTCACGTAACTTCTTGTCTGTTAGACTGAACCACAAATTGTCCCACTACTCTAACTAAGTTGCTGACTAACTAATTAACAGATTGTACTGACTCACTCACAATACACAGCACTCACTGCTTCAGCACGTGGCAGCTGCTACTCAACTGACTTAAGCTCTCATGAGAATGTCATTGAAACTGTTTACAGGTGCAGCACTTCATGAAGTTTCTTATGGTTTCTCAGGTGACCTCAGCTTTCAGTGTTCTACCAAATAATTAATTACTTAGTGCAACAAAAGCCAATTGGAAATATAGGCTATAAAACGATTTATATCACCGAGAAACTTCTGTCTGAATATTAGCATGAATGGAACAGATCTAACAGGTTAATAAAAAATTAGAAGCAATGATTTAATAATGAAGAAGGAAGACTATTTAGTTATTCAGGAAGCAAATTTATTCATTCTGAGGCAATATACTGTCAGATAACTGAACAAGAAAAAAGAGTAATATAAAATTTTATCAGATGCAGGGAAAAACTGGTTTGCATAATATTATTTCACATCAATGATCCAGTATGGACATAACACAGGAAGAGAGACCAACTGGAACTTCATGGATAGCAGGCTGCTGACATGAGGAAGCAGAGAAAAATTACTTGACTAACCACAAAAGACACAATATGGAATGAAGCAATGAGAGAGGGGACGGCAGTGATCTGTTTAGAAGAGTTCTTGCAGAAATCAAGATTCAAGTTATTCTGCCATGCTGTTCAACTGGAGATTACCACAGGATCAAACACAAAGTTAAACCTTCAAACAAATATATTGGGAGAAAAAGAGAATGAGGTGATGGAGGCTACAGAGCAAAAGGGAATAGTCTTGATGCAAATATGTGACAAAAAGACTGAGGATAAAGAAAAGAGAGGGAAGGTTTTATAAACTGATAACTTGCTATAGTTGAAACATTCACATATAATGAAGAGTTCTATATTATATAACACCATGTAGTCCAGTGGTTCTCAACGGGGGCCATATGGCCCCCCAGTGGGCCAAGCCATATTTCTGTGGGGCCGCAGACAAAATTTGGAAAAATGGAGGGCCATGGAAACTGTTAACTGGGCCACAAAATTTTCACTTCTAAAATAAAATTATTAATAATATAAAAATAAATAAAAATGTCAAATGGTCAGTACATATACTAACACAATAACTCAACATCCTTGTTTTTGTGTACCTTACTTAGAAGGGACAGAACCTATTGTACTTAAACCACAGCCTTAGATCTGGGAATTCGAAGTACCGGTAAACAGGTACACGCCTTCTCAGAGTGGGTAGAACCCTAACGAATTATCCTTCATTTTCCTAAATATCTCCCCCTCCTCTCATGAGTTTTACCGCCACCTTTTCAGTAAATTTCAGGTGTTCTTCAGTTCAGTATTCAAAATGTTTGGAAGAAGACATTTTTCTGTGCAAGTTCTATTATTGTGGCAGTTCCTTACTTTGTAGGCAAGTTACAAACTCCAGCTATTATTTTTCGACAAATAAGCATTACACTTCATAATAACTTGAACTTTCGTTACAAATAAATTATTAGCTTTCAATAGAATTTTAATGCCCTCCCCCTACAAGAAAAAATATTGTGAATTGATTACAGCAGTTTTGTATTTATTTCAAGTAGAATGGCTTTCAAAGCAATTTTTATGAATATTGACTTCTAAAATTTTACACATCTTCAACAAATTTAGAAATAGGGCAGTCATAAAATTTAGAAATTCAAGCTGCCAGAAATTGTTCTCATGGACCAGTTTGCTTGGTTTATATTTCAAGATATAAATACACTTTCATATAGATATCCATATTTTGTTCTGCTTTTCATTTTGATATTTTTTCCATTACATTAATATGGCAGACTGAAATCATAAATTAAACACGGTGTAATAAATGGTGAACAATTGTAATTATTATTGGCACTAAGGATAAATACACTGCTTCACATAATTATCCCATCACCCGCCACCCTCTCGCCTTGGAGGTGTGTTATTATTATTGCTAGTGGGGTGGGACAAAGTCCCTTGTACTGCAGCCACTTCTGGCCTATTGTACCATGGAGGCGTGTTAACTTACACTGCTAGGGCTCTGTATGTTTCCATATTATAAATGTGAATTGGCCCATTTATACCGTTTTACAGCAATATGTATTAATTGACGCAAATTTTGTAGGCATTTTCAATAAGGCAAGGGGTGAATTTTTTTTTACATTTTTTAAAGTTATTTTAAGTTTATTTCATGTGATTAACCCCGAATATGTCATTTTGCTTTCACGTATAAAATATATTCCATTTGAACATTATTTAGTAAGCAGGTGCAATCATTTTTTGAAACAGTTTATGTATTGTAATTTTGTAGTAGTAAATATAATTTTATAAATGTCCTTGTTTTTAAAACCAAAAATGTCATAGGTTTTTCCTATTTTGTACTATCTTTCAAATTGTGGGAACATCCCACATATCACGCTATTTCTACAACGCTCACTGTTCAACTCACTTTTCACCATCACGCGCGCTAACCAATCAAATTGCTTCCAACATTCGCATTTATATAGCACTTGCTGCTACCCCACATCCACATCATTACGCGTGCTAGCCAATCAGCGTTCTGCAAATTTCGCTCCTCCATCATGCTCTGTATAAAAAAGGAGCAGCTCCAACCCAGCATCATCAGTCTACAAACAGTCTTCATTCAGTCTTCACTCAGTCAACATCAGCCAGCACACTTTGTCCTCAGCAGTTGGTCTTCGGCTCTGTGCTGCGCCAGGAATGGCTGCCCCGACTCTCCGGCGGCATGCCCGACTCACTGGGCTGCCTCAGCTCTCCGGTGGTCATGCCCGACTCACCGGGCAACTGGCGTAACTACCGCCTCTCCACTCCAGCGACCGCGCTCCACATCCAGACGCATTCAGTCAGCAGTAGTGACCACACCAGCCAGTCTGCTATCACACTTTGTGCAGAGCAATCGGTCTTCGGAGGCATCGGCACTTCGCTGCGTCAGGCATGGCTGCCTCGGCTCTCCAACGGCACACCCGACTCACTGGGCAACTCGGCTGCCTCGATTCGCCAGCGGTCATGCCCGACTCACTGGGCAACTGGTGTAGCTACCGCCTCTCCACTCCTGTGACCGCGCTCCACAAGCAGACGTCTTCCAGCAACCAGGCAACTCCCGGCAACGGCTGCACTGCGACCAGGCCACAGCCTCAGCTGCCACAACCAACACCTCTTTCTACCAGCGTACGTAGCGCTACTTCACCGGCCAAACATCCCAGCAGCCAATGGTCCTTTTCAGGACCCACAAACTTTCCGAAGAAGTGGGTTGTCATGGGAGAAACGACAAATCCCCACAAAATTTTAGATCTGATAACCCTAACCTAAGTTTACCAAATAGAAAATAGGACCAAATTTAAAACTTTAGTCGAATAATAAGTTATTCTGCATGAACTATTATCGTGAATGATGTCCAGAAATGATTTTCTAAAAAACAAAATAATAAAACACTGTGCACATTCATTTACAGTTTTTTTTGTCCTGCTTAGTATAATAGCTACTAGTATATTAATTTGAACGGTATACTGAAATGAAAATTTGTAATGTTAGCATGTTTTGAAAATTTTCACTATTGTTGTATACTACTTTTTAAATAACTGATTCAGTTTTTAAGTATGTATTACAGTGAGTTTTATAATTTTACTAAACTATTTTTTATTTGTATTATTTTATATTTCTTCATTTATATTTGTTTTTTATTTTAATATCAGATTACCCATGGCTACTATGACGATGAAAAAATGTTGGCAATATTCCATTGAGTATCTTGCCCATGGTTTAATTCCATCACCACAGGACAAAAGGATGCCGTTGTGTCTAATATGCATGCGTACACTTTCAAATGAAAGCATGCGGCCATGTAAGCTGCGGCTGCACTTGGAGACAACCCACAAGGACAAGAAGGATAAATCACTGGATTACTTAAAAAAAAAAACTGCGTGAGCAACTCTTCAGTATCGAGGCGTATTGATGAAATGGCAGATGATGTGGAAAAACAATTAGTTGCACAACTGCGAGTTAAGAAGTTTGCCCTGCAAATCGATGAATCCACTCTAAGCGATAATGAAGTCCTTCTGATGACATATGTAAGGATTTTGAATGATGATCAACTTAATGAGGAAATGCTTTTTGCCCGAAAGCTCAAGACCGACACCAAAGGTGAGAAAATATTTGAAGAAGTTAAGAGTTATTTCAAAGAAAACAATATTCCACTACAAAATATAATAGCTTGTGCAACCGATGGTGCAGCTTCAATGGTAGGTAGATATAGGGGATTCATTGCTCATTTAAAAAATGCTATTCCTGAAGTTTTTTGCATACACTGCGTGACCCACCGTCGACATTTGGTTGCAAAAATATTGGGAGGACGTTTGCATGATGCCCTTGCTACTGTAATAAAAGCCGTAAACCACATCAAGTCAAATGCACTTGAAAATCGTCTGTTTCAACAACTTTGTGAAGAAAATGGGGAAGAATTAAACGCATGTTAATCCATACAGAAGTCTGATGGCTATCAAAAGGTAATTGTCTTTGTCGTTTTGTTGCACGTTGGGGCAGTACTGTATCATTCCTAAGTGATAAGTAGCTTGGGGAACAGGTCGTTGCTGCTAAGTGTGACATATTTTATCTATCAGATATATTCGAAAAGCTCAATTTGTTGAACAAACAGTTGCAAGGAAATAACTGCAATCTTATATTTTGCATAGGGGCCATTACTGCTTTACTTGGAAAACTGAAACTATTCTGGAGTAATATTGGATGTCACGAGTTAATGCAATTTCCTTCATTGGCCACTCTTGACACAGAATTGCAAGATGATGACCTTTTTGTATATATTGAGCATTTGAAGAATTTGTACAATGATATGCAATTTCGGTTCAGCGACCTGCTAGAGATGACTATCCCAGATTGGGTGGTCGATCCATTTCAAGTAAATGCGGTTGATGTTGACAGCGTATTACAAGAATATCTCATTGAACTGCAAAGTGATGTTAACAGCCCAAGCTAGATTCAAAAACGACAAACAACATTTCTGGATAAGCAATGAAATTGCCAATAAATTTCCAGAGCTTTGGGAGAAGGCAAAATTGTTTTTTATTGGATTTCCTACTTCATATCTAGTTGAATCTGGATTTAGTCAAGTTCTTCATCTGCTATCAAAGGCTCATAACCGTCTTGATATTGTGAAGAGATGTGATCTTCGATTATCTCTAACAATGCTGCAACCAGATACACAAAAACTTGCTTCTTCTCATCAGCCACAAGGATCTCACTAAACCTAAGGGACACTAATATTATTGTAATATTTTTTGTCAGGAGCATAATTATATAGTGTAAATAAACAGAACATTATATAAGTAAAAATTCTATTATAAATAAAGGTTTTTGTTAATAAACCCCTTTCTTAATATCAATATTCCTTATGCTATAAACAAATAATAATTGTTATAAATAAAAGTACAGTTGATAAAGTACATATTTATAATCAATATTACATTTATTATAATTAAACAATATGAGGGGTGGGGGGGGGGGCACAGAACTGAATGAAAGTCAGAAGTGGGAGACGAATGAAAAAAGGTTGAGAACCACTGATGTAGTCCACTGAAAGTCAACTGACATTTCAGAGGAACACGTTGCCTCCATCTTTAGGACTGAAGAAAAGCCCATAAGAAACAAGAATGAAGAAGGTAGCAAGCAAGCAGAGCTTTCTTTCACACTGATTTCCTGCTTAGTTTACTCTTTAGCCTTGATGTTAGAGATTACATGTTCCTCCAAAACATCAGCTGACTTTCAACAGGCCACATGGCATTACATCCCTGAAAACAGCCAATTCTCTGAGAACCTCAAATCCTGCTTCCATGAATAATGATTATAACAATGAATAATATTTAAATTTTGAGATCTAAAGCAGGAAAGCGGACCCAGAATACCTGTTGGTCACAAGTACATCCAAAATCTATAAATTCTAATTATGATACTAACCTCGCAATCCATTGAGTTCACCAACCCAACAATGTTCATCTTTCTGGCTGATTACTGTGATGATATCATTCTTTCGAAAACCAAGTTCATCATCATCATGGCGCTCAAAATCTGTTCAAAAGAAGTAAATTACATTGCATTACAATTCAGTATACGTTAAAAATAATGTATAAACTTTATGAAGCTCACTCTACAAGTAAAACTGGAAAGAGGTAGACACTTTTACTTCAGAAGTTGATGAAATTAAGAATACAGTGGTATAGGCATGTGTTATACACATAAATGGACAACAACAGGGCACTGTTGGAGACCATGGGCAAGGTGGAGAGACCAAATGACAGAAGATATACAAAAGAGGGGAGCGACACTGGGGTGGGCAGAAAGGGCTTGAGGAAGGAACATTTGTCATATGATGGCCACTTTCGTGGAAATGTCTGTGGTTCATGATGTTTTAATGCATATGACAGTAAATAACATTTAATTTACGTTGGAGAAGGATGGAGAAGATCAGTTGGACCGATTATGTGAGAAATGAAGAAGTGTTATTTAGAGTCAGTGAGCAGAGGAATATCCTACATGAAATAAGAAAAACGGAAGGCTAATTGGATTGGTCATATCGTACGCGGTAACTGCCTTCAACAAGAAGTTATTGAAGGAAAGATAGAGGGGCGGATAGAAGTGACCAGAAGACGAGGAAGAAGACGTAAGAAGATGCTGGATGACCTTGGGGACAGAAGAGGATATTTTCATTTGAAGGAGAAAGCTCTAGATCGCATCAAGTGGAGGAACTGTTTTGGAAGAGACTGTGGACCTGTCATCTTGACAGATTTAAGATGAATGAATGAATATGTCATATGTTAGCATATGTGTTAAGCTTAGAAATTTGTGTCCCCTTTCAAATGGCAAATCCAAGGCCTCTATATCATATTTTCATTACAGCAGTGCTAAGACTACAAAACATCAGATAAGGCAATGCTCTGGCCATGCACTGGGAAAGGAAGGGAGAAACTGATTTATGAATTATGTACATTGTTACATATATTATACTGCCATATGTAACAACTGCTTGCATGTCCTGTTTCAGCCTTTAGTAGGTAATCACAGTCTGTACATTCATGTACAAGGTGTGGCAATAAAGAAACCGGATTACTTTTATGACTCATTTCCGGCAACGTCATTGACGAAGACAAGGGTAGGGCATTGACCCTTGGACTTCCCTCTACCGTCACACAAAGTTTCATTCACGTGCATCGGTTAGTCTGGCCGCGACCATTGTTAGAAGCGGATCGTGTTTCTGAGCTCCGTCGGAATAATGCTGAGTGCTAATGCAGAACAACGTGCTAACATCAAATTCCTCACAAAACTTGGAAAATCTGCCACTGAAACTTACAATTTGTTGACAGAAGTATATGGTGATCAGTGTCTATCTCGCACGCAAGTTTTCGAGTGGTTTAAGAAGTTTATGGAGGGTAGGAAAAACGTCGGGAACGATCCAAAATCGGGCCGTCCTCCCACTGCGAAA